TCAAGGAGGGAGACGTGCTGGTAGAGGTGGGCACTGACGACCTCCAGCCCCTGGAGAACATGAGCACCGAAACCTTCAAAGGCTTCTTGAAGGACAGGCCGCTGATGATGAAGTTTGTAGCTGCGGCTGCAGCCACAGCATCTGGTGGTTCGGCCTATGCAGCAGATCCTCCCAAACCTGTAGAACAGGACGCCTCTACAGATGCTGTGTACACCATCGTCGCAGGTCCGGACGTGGCTAAGCTCGGCATCACTTTCAACGGCATGCCGCCAGGGCGAATTGATGTCAAGGGTGTTGCTGCAGGTTCTTTCGGGAGCGAGAGCGGCGTGCGAGAAGGTGATGCTCTCATAGAAGTTGGCAAAGACGAATTTCTGCCACTGGAGGGCATGACATCTGAGACGTTCAAGAGCTTGTTGAAGGATCGGCCTCTCAGAATGAAATTTCAAGCAACATCAGCAGTAGCACACGCTGATGCACCAACGCCAGCGGAAGATCATGCTGCGCCCGCTCCGCAGGGTACGGCGAATAGCGTGGAAGCTGCTAAAGAGGCAGTAAGCCACCCGTTGTTGGAGTCCGGGGAGTACACGGTCGTGGCGAGTTCCGAAGTGGGCAAGTTGGGCATCAGCTTTCATGGTATGCCGCCGGGCCGCATTGAAGTCAAGGGTGTAGCAGAAGGTTTGTTTGGCAGCACAAGCGGCGTCAAGGAGGGAGACGTGCTAGTAGAGGTGGGCACTGACGACCTCCAGCCCCTGGAGAACATGAGCACCGAAACCTTCAAAGGCTTCTTGAAGGACAGGCCGCTGATGATGAAGTTTGTAGCTGCGGCTGCAGCCACAGCATCTGGTGGTTCGGCCTATGCGGCAGATCCTCCCAAACCTGTAGAACAGGACGCCTCTACAGATGCTGTGTACAGCATCGTCGCAGGTCCGGACGTGGCCAAGCTCGGCATCACTTTCAACGGCATGCCGCCAGGGCGCATTGATGTCAAGGGTATTGCTGCAGGTTCTTTCGGGAGCGAGAGCGGCGTGCGAGAAGGTGATGCTCTCATAGAAGTTGGCAAAGACGAATTTCTGCCACTGGAGGACATGACATCTGAGACGTTCAAGAGCTTGTTGAAGGATCGGCCTCTCAGAATGAAATTTCAAGCAACATCAGCAGTAGCACAAGCTGATGCACCAACGCCAGCGGAAGATCATGCTGCGCCCGCTCCGCAGGGTACGGCGAATATCGTGGAAGCTGCTAAAGAGGCAGTAAGCCACCCGTTGTTGGAGTCCGGGGAGTACACGGTCGTGGCGAGTTCCGAAGTGGGCAAGTTGGGCATCAGCTTTCATGGTATGCCTCCGGGCCGCATTGAAGTCAAGGGTGTGGCAGAAGGTCTGTTTGGCAGCACAAGCGGCGTCAAGGAGGGAGACGTGCTGGTAGAGGTGGGCACTGACGACCTCCAGCCCCTGGAGAACATGAGCACCGAAACCTTCAAAGGCTTCTTGAAGGACAGGCCGCTGATGATGAAGTTTGTAGCTGCGGCTGCAGCCACAGCATCTGGTGGTTCGGCCTATGCGGCAGATCCTCCCAAACCTGTAGAACAGGACGCCTCTACAGATGCTGTGTACAGCATCGTCGCAGGTCCGGACGTGGCTAAGCTCGGCATCACTTTCAACGGCATGCCGCCAGGGCGAATTGATGTCAAGGGTGTTGCTGCAGGTTCTTTCGGGAGCGAGAGCGGCGTGCGAGAAGGTGATGCTCTCATAGAAGTTGGCAAAGACGAATTTCTGCCACTGGAGGGCATGACATCTGAGACGTTCAAGAGCTTGTTGAAGGATCGGCCTCTCAGAATGAAATTTCAAGCAACATCAGCAGTAGCACACGCTGATGCACCAACGCCAGCGGAAGATCATGCTGCGCCCGCTCCGCAGGGTACGGCGAATAGCGTGGAAGCTGCTAAAGAGGCAGTAAGCCACCCGTTGTTGGAGTCCGGGGAGTACACGGTCGTGGCGAGTTCCGAAGTGGGCAAGTTGGGCATCAGCTTTCATGGTATGCCGCCGGGCCGCATTGAGGTCAAGGGTGTGGCAGAAGGTCTGTTTGGCAGCACAAGCGGCGTCAAGGAGGGAGACGTGCTGGTAGAGGTGGGCACTGACGACCTCCAGCCCCTGGAGAACATGAGCACCGACACCTTCAAAGGCTTCTTGAAGGACAGGCCGCTGATGATGAGGTTCCTTGTTCACGGCTGGTATTGCTTCACATTCTTCCATGCATTTGATTCCTTTTATTGTTTTTGACCGTCCAGAGTTGTTCTGAGCTCAGCCAAGGTTCTCGTTCCGCAAAGTTGACAGCAAGGATGTCCAGATCGAAATGAACCTCAGCCCAGAGCCAGGCACACTTGACGAGGCGAGTTGATTCACGATTACCATTTTTCCTGTGCGTCTTTGGTAATTGGTGGTGCTATGCACCCATCTGCACAGCGACAGGTTGCAAACCATGCTCTGTGCCTTGTAGTGTGGGCGGCGGGGGTTGGGGGGGGGGTTTTCAAGAAAAGGTCAGGTGAAGCTTTGTAAGGAAGTGCTAGAAGGTTCTGTGGTGGGGGTCCCAGGGCGGGTTCCAGGGGCGCAGGGGGGGGGGGGGGCCCGGGAAGGGTTGGTTCTAGACGCCTCTCGGCAAAGACGAATTTGTAGAGTTCAGCGTAGCCCAAATCATAAGCTTGTGAGGTGCCATCAGCTGCAGCATCACTCCAGGAAGAGAAGCCCACAGAACCGCGCCACTTTGCAGGAGCTGAGGAAGAGAAGCCCATAGAACCGCACCACGCCGCAGAAGCTGAGGAAGAGAAGCCCATAGAAACGCACCACGCCGCAGAAGCTGAGGAAGACAAGCCTGCAGAACCGCGCCGCGCTACAGAAGCTGAGGGGCGGAAGCCTACCGAACCGCACCTTGCAGATGGTGAGGTAGCATCACCTGCAGCATCACACCAGGATCGCCAGCAAGAGAAGCTCACGGAACTGCACCACGTTGCAGAAGCTGAGGAAGAGAAGCCCACAGAACCACACCACGTTGCAGAAGCTGAGGAAGAGAAGCCCATAGAAACGCACCACGCCGCAGAAGCTGAGGAAGACAAGCCTGCAGAACCGTGCCGCGCTACAGAAGCTGAGGGGCAGAAGCCTACCGAACCGCACCTTGCAGATGGTGAGGTAGCATCACCTGCAACATCACACCAGGATCGCCAGCAAGAGAAGCCCGCAGAACTGCACCACGTTGCAGAAGCTAAGGAAGAGAAGCCCATAGAACCGCACCACGCCGCAGAGGCTGAGGAAGACAAGCCTGCAGAACCGCACCACGCTGCAGAAGTTGAGGGGCAGAAGCCTACCGAACCGCACCTTGCAGATGGTGAGGTAGCATCACCTGCAGCATCACACCAGGATCGCCAGCAAGAGAAGCCCACGGAACTGCACCACGTTGCAGAAGCTGAGGAAGACACCACGGAACTGCACCGCGTTGCAGAGAAGCCAGGCAGAGAAGCCCGCAGAACTGCACCACGTTGCAGAAGCTGAGGAAGAGAAGCCCATAGAACCGCACCACGCCGCAGAAGCTGAGGAAGACAAGCCTGCAGAACCGCACCAAGCTGCAGAAGCTGAGGGGCAGAAGCCTACCGAACCGCACCTTGCAGATGGTGAGGTAGCATCACCTGCAGCATCGCACCAGGATCGCCAGGAAGAGAAGCCCACAGAACCACACCACGTTGCAGAAGCTGAGGAAGAGAAGCCCATAGAACCGCACCACGCCGCAGAGGCTGAGGAAGACAAGCCTGCAGAACCGCACCGTGCTACAGAAGCTGAGGGGCAGAAGCCTACCGAACCGCACCTTGCAGATGGTGAGGTAGCATCACCTGCAACATCACACCAGGATCGCCAGCAAGAGAAGCCCGCAGAACTGCACCACGTTGCAGAAGCTAAGGAAGAGAAGCCCATAGAACCGCACCACGCCGCAGAGGCTGAGGAAGACAAGCCTGCAGAACCGCACCACGCTGCAGAAGTTGAGGGGCAGAAGCCTACCGAACCGCACCTTGCAGATGGTGAGGTAGCATCACCTGCAGCATCACACCAGGATCGCCAGCAAGAGAAGCCCACGGAACTGCACCACGTTGCAGAAGCTGAGGAAGAGAAGCCCATAGAACCGCACCACGCCGCAGAGGCTGAGGAAGACAAGCCTGCAGAACCGCACCGCGCTACAGAAGCTGAGGGGCAGAAGCCTACCGAACCGCACCTTGCAGATGGTGAGGTAGCATCACCTGCAGCATCACACCAGGATCGCCAGGAAGAGAAGCCCGCAGAACCGCACCACGTTGCAGAAGCTGAGGAAGAGAAGCCCATAGAACCGCACCACGCCGCAGAGGCTGAGGAAGACAAGCCTGCAGAACCGCACCACGCTACAGAAGCTGAGGGGCAGAAGCCTACCGAACTGCACCTTGCAGATGGTGAGGTAGCATCACCTGCAGCATCACACCAGGATCGCCAGGAAGAGAAGCCCGCAGAACCGCACCACGTTGCAGAAGCTGAGGAAGAGAAGACCATAGAAACGCACCTCGCAGATGCTGCATCACCCACAGCATCACACCAGGAAGAGAAGCCTGCAGAACCGCACCACGTTCCAAAAGCTGAGGAAGAGGAGGCCGCAGAACCATCTAGGGTTGCATCCCGCGGGCAGTTTCTTGTGGTGATCCCACCTTGCCACAATGACACAACTAGACCAGACCAGTGGTTCTTGGTTTCATTTCGTAGTTTCATACCACCCTCAGAAGCAATTAGTGGGTTGTCCCTGAGAAAGACAGCACCAGATTCGTTTGCTGGCGAGGCAGTGGACGATGGCTCTTCAAAGGAGAGCGTGCGCCAGCAGGACTGCTTGCAAGAAGGCCAGAAACGGCCTGAACTGCGCAAAAGAGTGCTGGCACGAGCGAACTGCTCAACTCTCCTAAGGCTTCAAGTTTTTAAACGTCCCGAAGCCCTCAGGCGAGCGTGGTTCTGTCTTTGCCATGGTCACTGCAGGCACACGGCAGCCACTTCCGCACAAAGAGATGGCAAATGCCCTGCGACTTGGCTGCGGTGCATTACGGTGCTAGGTTTCGACAGGCTGTGCTTCGAACTGCGAAAATACCAAAATCAATATTTGCTGGCTACCGCTAGTGCCACCCACCCCCTTACAAGCACCTTATCCATCCCCTTTCTAGTGCTGGCTCCCGCCGCGCTTTGCATGTGCATTGATTCCCAACTTCCTACTTAAAGCCCGACAAGCAATAAACAGGGAACCTTCTTCTTTTTGTTTTTTGGGCGTCCTGGGTTTTTGCTGCCCTTTGCCCCGTCGCCTCGGGGCCCCAGGGCGGCTCAAAAAGTAAATTAAAACGCGTCAGGGGCCTCAAGTTAGCTATTTGTTGGGACAAGAAATGCCACAAAGGCAAGCCAGTAGTGGGCTGTAAGTACCTGGGGGGGGGGGGGTGGGTGGGGTGGTTGCAGGGTTGCACTGGAGCCCTTTTAAACGGATGGCTGTGAGACTTGGGGAAGGAAAAGCAGTAATGCGGTCCAGGACGTTGGCTGCAGGGCGGTGGCTTGGTGTTCGGACATAGTGGGCTGCACTGGGGAGTGCTGCAGGGTGCTGCGGGCGGCGGTCACTGACGCGGCCCCCGCTACCACAGGGGGTCGGCGGATAGAACTTTTGCCGTTTTGTTGCAGGACGCCGCTTCAAGCGGAGGCGGTGGCGAACTGCCAGGCCATCTCTTCTGATATAGTGCCCTATAGTGCGGGGCTTAGTAGGAGAGCGTTATCGAGAGGCATGAGAGAAATTAGTGGGCAATCGGATCTTGTAGTCATTGTAGTCATGTGGACGCCACGCAGGCACGCCCAGGGGCCTAGAGCCCGATGGAGGGCCTCCTGGAGGGCTCGGCTCAACATCTTGAAAAAAGGTACCTAAGATCTTGTACCCCCAACACTTGGTGGAGGTCCCTAGTTTCGACTTTCGTGCCTGTGGCGCTGGGGATTCGAGATGGGGCAACTCACATGCTGTAGATGCTGCATTCGAACTGCTGAGCAATTTTGTTTGACATTTTGTTGCATACTACGAAGCGACGAAGCGTCCAATCCTGCACTGCGGCGGCGTGAACCGGGCAAGGGATTCTGTGGGAACCCCGGCTTCAAGGCCGAGGCTCTGGAAATGGGGGCGTGCTTGCCAGGTTTGTGTGGTTGCTGAGCTCTGCGGCGAGTTGGAAGAGGCTTGGGCAAAGGCATGCAAAGCAGTTGCACAGCTATAGGTATTTCAACATATTTAAATGTGTCAAGATATCTACAGGCCTTGCGGCACGGGCCGGCCTGGCCGTCTGAAAGCTGAAGCTCGGGTTTGGGTTTAGGGGTTTAAGGGGCGCAGGGAGTCGGTACGTAATCAAGAAGAAAGGGAAAATGAAAAAAAACAATAATAAACGAAAGAAGAAGAAAAAATAAGAAGAAAAAGAAGAAGAGGAAAAGAAAGAAGAAGAAGAAAAGACCAAGAAGAAGAACAATAGAAAGAAGAAGAAACATAAGAAGAAGAAAAGAAAGAAGAATAAGCAGAATAAGAAGAAAAGAAAAGAAAGAATAATAACAAGAAGAAAGGGTAAAGGAATAAAGGAAGAAGAAGATAAAGAAGAAGAAGAAGAAGAATAAAGAAAAAGAAGAAACAGAAGAAGAACAAAATCAAGAATAATGAAAAGAATAAGAAGACAAGAAAGAATAAAAGGAACAATAAGAAAAGCAAGAAGAAGAAACAGATGAAGAATAAAAGAAATAGGAAGAAAAGAATAATAATAAAAGAAAGAAAGAAGAATAACAAGAAGAAAGCGAAAAGGAAGAAAAAGAAGAATAAGAAGAGAAAGAAGAATAAGAAAAATGTGGAAAAAAGAAGAAGACAAGGAAGAAAAAAAAAGAATTAGAAAAAACAATGAACAGGAAGCAGAAGAGAAGAAAGAACAGGAAGCGACAGCCGAAACCCTATATATAATCCTCTGCGCGCGCGCAAAAGCATCATTGGCATCAGCGGCTTGGGGGTGGGGGCCGAAAGTCGCGAAACACATGCCAAAACACGACGAAATCGAGAAAATCACGCTTTCTCCGAAGTTTGGCGCTGCGTGCATACATGGCAGCCAGAACGAAGAGTTTTTGAATAGTTTTTCGCGCAACACGCAAAAAAAAACACTGTATTTACAGTACCACGTTTTCGGCCCCTCGGACCCCCCCCCCCCCCAAGCGAGCATCATGAGCATCAGCGAGGCCTTCATGAGCATCAGCGAGGCCCTCATGAGCATCAGCGAGGCTGCGGAGCCGGGACCCGAGGGCCCTGGAGAAATGAAGGGCTCATGATGCGCACGTATCGCGGGCGTTGGCTGACGCCCCCGAAGCCTCGGGCGTCAATGATGCTCACCGTGGAGGCGCGGCCGTGAGGTGTGGTGTCGAAACACGCGAAGAACGTATTTGCGGTGTTTTCTGGCTTTGTTGAGGTGCCCGGGCCCTCCTGTAACCCGGGGGCGGGTCGCTGATGCTCATGATGCTCGGGATCACTCTGTCCGACATGCAAATTGGGGGTCCGACATGCCAAGGTAGGTTTTCGAGATGCAAACTTTCTTGGGGTCCCACATGCAAAGGTAGGTGTTCGAGATGCAAACTTTCCTGGGATCCGACATGCCACAGGAGGTTTTCGAGATGCAAGTGGTAAATTCTGGGTCCAACCGGCACAGGTGGGTTTTCGAGATGCAAACTCCCGATTTCGCGTAAAATTAGTAAATTAGTAAATAGTAAAATAGTAAAATCTGGGTCGAACCGGCGCAGATGGGTTTTCGTTCGAGATGCGAGCTCCCGATTTCGCGTAAAATTACTAAATTAGTCAGGGTTGTCATCGGGCGGTTCGGTCGATACCAATACTTCTGCGGTATTCTGCGGTGTGGTATTGCGCTCATTGCGGCGCCTGCGGTTGGTTGCGGTGTGGCCCTCCCCCCTCCCACCTAAGCCTCCCTCCCCCCCCTCCCCACCCCCACCCCCCCCTCCTACCCCCGCCCACCTGCCCCCCCCCACCCCCACCCCCCCCCCAACCTCCTCCCCCCACCTTCCAACCCCCCCTTAACTCCCACCCTGCCCCCCCATCCATAGCTCCCACCTTGCCCCCCCTTCCAACCCCCCCTCACTCCCACCTTACGCCCCCTTCCAACCCCTCCCCTGACTCCCGCTAAACCCCCCCTCCCACCCCGCGAACTGCCGCTAACCCCCCCTTCCCCCCCCCCCCCCCCCCCCACCCCCCCCACCCCCCCCTCAACTCCCATCTACCCCTCCCCATCTCTCCCCTGCCTGACCAGCCCCCAACTAGCCCCCAGACCCCCCCTAGCTCCCACCTCGTAAAATAGTAAAGTAGTAAAAACTGGGTCGAACCGGCACAGGTGGGTTTTCGAGATGCAAACTGCTGAGGCCGTGGAGGAAACCCTATTAAAAGTAAAGAGAGAAGGAGGAGTTTTTTCTGGATTTCGCGCGCAATCAGTAAAGTGGTAAAATCTGGGTCCAACCGGCACAGGTGGGTTTTCGGGATGCAAACTCCCGATTTAGCGTAAAATTAGTAAAATAGTAAAATAGCAAAATCTGGGTCGGACTGGCACAGGTGGGTTTTCGAGATGCAAACTGCTGAGCCCGTGGAGGAAGTCCTATTAAAAGTAAAGAGAGAGGGGAATTTTCTTTGGATAATAGAATCCTGGTCCGACATGCAAGGTTGGGTTTTCGAGATGCAAAGTCTCAATTTCCCGTAAAATTAGTAAAATAGTAAAATAGTAAAATAGTAAAATAGTAAAATAGTAAAATAGTAAAATAGTAAAATCTGGGTCGGACCGGCACAGGTGGGTTTTCGAGATGCAAACTGCTGAGCCCGTGGAGGAAATCCTAGTAAAAGTAAAGAGACAGGGAGGAACTTTCTCTGGATTTCGGCGAAATCAGGAAAGCGGTAATTTCTGGGTCCAACCGGCACAGGTGGGTTTTCGAGATGCAAACTCCCGACCTCCCGTAAAATTAGAAAAATCGTAAAATAGTAAAATCTGGGTCGGACCGGCACAAGTGGGTTTTCGAGATGCAAACTGCTGAGCCCGTGGAGGAAATCCTATTAAAAGTAAAGAGAGAGGGAGGAATTTTATCTGGATTTCGCGCGAAATCAGGAAAGTGGTAATTTCTGGGTCCAACCGGCACAGGTGGGTTTTCGAGATGCAAACTCCCGATTTCCTGTAAAATTAGTAAAATAGTAAAATAGCAAAATCTGGGTCGGACCGGCACAGGTGGGTTTTCGAGATGCAAACTGCTGAGGCCGTGGAGGAAATCCTATTAAAAGTAAAGAGACAGGGAGGAATTTTCTCTGGATAATAGAGTCCTGGTCCGACATGCAAGGTTGGGTTTTCGAGATGCAAACTCCCGATTTCCCGTAAAATTAGTAAAATAGGAAAATAGTAAATAGTAAAATAGTAATATAGTAAAATCTGGGTCGGACCGGCACAGGTGGGTTTCGAGATGCAAACTGCTGAGGCCGTGGAGGAAATCCTATTAAAAGTAAAGAGACAGGGAGGAATTTTCTCTGGATTTCGCGCGAAATCAGTAAAGCGGTAATTTCTGGGTCCAACCGGCACAGGTGGGTTTTCGAGATGCAAACTCCCGATTTCCCGTAAAATTAGAAAAATAGCAAAATCTGGGTCGGACCGGCACAGGTGGGTTTTCGAGATGCAAACTGCTGAGCCCGTGGAGGAAATCCTAGTAAAAGTAAAGAGAGACAGGGAGGAACTTTCTCTGGAGAATAGAATCCTGGTCCGACATGCAAGGTTGGGTTTTCGAGATGCAAACGGCTTGGTGCCATGCATCTCGGGCGCGCGCTTTGCATCTCGAAAACCCAACCTTGCATGTCGGACGCCGCAGTCCCTACAGAGCCCCTGGGGGTACCCCCCCAAACTTGAGGTATAAGGTTTTTCTTCGCATGTTGGCCCAACGTCAGAAAGCAGGGTCGAGGACGGCGTTTGGCGGCCCTCCAAAAGCGCAGAAAAGCATGGTATTTACGATGTTTTCGGCACTTCCACGCATTCGCGTTTGGGACCCCACTCGGAGCCCTTCCGGGGCTTTCCCCGGAGCCTCATGCAAGGAACCGTGGGCTTAGTTCATTAGTCCGGCAGAGGTGTGGGCTAGCCCTAAACTAAACCCTAAACCCTAAACCCCAAAGGGGTTGGGAGGCAGGGCGGTTCATGGTGGAGGGGGTGTATCGGGGGCAGGCGGGTATAGGGGGTGGGAAAGAAAGCTGGGGTAGGGTGGGGAGGGGGAGGGCGCGAGGGCGGGGAGGGGGTGGCAGAGGAGCTGGGGGGGTGCGGATTTCAACGGGTTTGTGGAATTTCAGTACAGCACTCGAAAGCTGGCTCCTCGGAAGCTCGTGAGCTCATGCTCATTCTCGTTTACACCTGTTTCTTCTTGAGTCCCAGGCCTTCATGGCATGATACTTCAATGTTCGCACCTCCCACCCGCAATTTTTAGGGGCAACGCCGAGCCCCTACAAGGCCTAGGGATAAACATCCCGACCTTGCGCCCCAAGCAAAGCAGATTCCATGGCAAGCTCCGCCCAAATCTGCTCAAGCGCGCAGGACCCTGAACCATCAACGTAGACTCACCCCAGCCTTACCGGTTCCCTCTTGCAAGTAACACTTGTCACATCTGTGAGTTTCTTGCGCAGTGCTCTAACACTCACACCGCAAGCAGCAAACATTCGTCCATCACACACACACACATATGCAATTGTAAAGGCTTGCACGGGCAGCCTCGGCAGCCGGGCTGGCCCAACGCGTGGTTTAGCGTGCGCGTCGCAGACGAAGGATACTCGGAAAGCCCTGTACGTCACGAGTCCCAGGAGGGGTGAGTGGGTCCGCAGGTGGGGGTTGCAGGTAAAGGGCCCCAGTAAAGGGTGCCAGGGGCGTCTGGGGGGGGGGGGGGTCCCAGTGGGAAGGGGGGCTGCTCAACCTTGTTGTTGTTTGTTTCCATTCAGGACCTCGCAGAGTTGGAACATCATCGAATAGAAATTGCCGCGTGTCAGCGTACTGCAATCTAGAATGCAAAAGTGTTGTATATTTCATCGTAAAGTAAAGTATAGTATGGTCGAGTAAAGTACCGTATAGTATATAGTATGATCACCATGTAGTGTTTGTACATAGTTTACAATATGTACAAGAGCAGAGACTTGGGAAGCAGGAAAAATGGATAACACAGCCTCATTTGGCCACAGTGCGGTGAGCCTGTGAGGCCCAGAGGCAAGCTGCCGAAGCCAAGGCTGCTTTGGTCAAGGAGCAGGAGGCCACAAGAGGTAACCAGCGGTAGCAACTAGGACTGTACCATATCAAGCATGTCAGATGCACGCTCATGGCCCGCCCGCCTTGCCGTCTAAGACTTCGTTGTGCCGGTAACGACACTGACGTGCTTTCACTGCACATGGCAGCCCAGCTTAACGCTTCTCACAGTTGCAGTCTCATGGTAATAGGTTGCCGGAGCAGCTGCGCAAACTATGTGGGAGCTGCAAGCACGACTGAACGAGGTTGGCTGCCATTCAGCGATGCGATATGTCGGAGGAAAGATATTGTCTCACTGCATTCACACAGTGCCTCCAGACAACCAGCCATGACAGTTGCTTGCCATGCTCGCGCTGCAGGCTGCGCAGGAAAAGGAGCAACTGCATACAGAGTTCCAAACAGAGCAACTCCTGCGAAAGCGCGTGGCTACCGAACTGCAGATCAAGCTTCTCAGATGCACGTTAGGGTGGAGTGATGTATTTTATTGCATAGCCCGAAACCTTACTGTAGGCTGTTATGGGGATACGGGGTTGTGGGTTTGGGAATGAAGTCTGACCCGGTGGAGGGCTGCGCTCACCAGATTTTGAAATTTGAGTGGCGTGCTATCCCTGTTCCAGTCTAGGAAGTATGCAACGGCAGACTCTAACCTTGCAAGAGGAAGGGATAGAGACAAAAACTGATTTCAGCACCATGAGTGTCTGAGATGATATGTTGTTTGCTGGTACCACTTCAAGGACTGCCCTTGCCAGTCCCGAAGTTGGCCAGGCAGGGCTTGCTGCATTTGGCAGCAGTTGGGTCGTTTCTCAGCATCAATGTTGCTCACGCCAGCGGTGTGCTTTTCTGGGGAGATAACGTCCATACAAGAACCGGAATGTTGAGCAACTCGCAACCCGCGTCTGGAAAACTACAAATCTATCAGTTTGCTTGACATTCAGGTTCGGATGTTTGCGAGGGTGAATGCGTGTCTGCAGCTGCGCGCAGTTCTGTCGGTCGGCAAATGTTGACTACTCACGGCCTCATGGTTGCTGGACTGGAGGTCGTCCGGCTGCAGCGGGAACTGTCCAAGTCGGAGCATGCTCTTCGAGGGATGCAGCGCAGGCAGCTCCAAGAGAAGGACGCATTTCCACCTTTCCCCCCTTTCCTCCGTAAAGAGCATCGGTATACTACTCAAGGGCTGCACGAGAGCATTCTGAGCATACGCAGGACGTGCAGTCGTCGCAGTCGAACGCGGAGTCACGATTGCTTCGTGTGGAGTACAAGGCAGCGCTGGCAGCGCTAGAATTGACTGCAAGTTGAGGGAGTTACGCTTCAAGTAAAGGTTCGCTGAAGACATGCCACGATTTCTCTATCTTCCTTTGTCTCGGAGCCTTCCAGGTTTGCATGCTTGTTTCGTTACTGTTTTCATGGGCTTGTCAGTCACAGGCAAATGAAGATGATTTTTCACTTCGGGACGACAACCCCCCGATCAGTCGCCGTTCTTCGCTATCCGCGAGAGATCACTGGGTAGTGGCGGTAGTGGAGTGGAGGCACGGCCAAGACTCAGCGATATGGCGGCCTACCAGGCACAAGGAGAAAGAAGGTGACAGCGGAGAGTGGGAGAGAGAAAGAGAGAGCGAGACAGGGAAAGAATGAGGAGGGCGATGGGCGTTGGGGGGGGGGGGGGGGGGGGGGTGGCGGGTAGAAGGGGGCAATGTCGAGGAAGAGATTTCAATGCCTGAGCGGGCACAGCAAAACGGGCGCTTGAGGAAGGTCTCGAGCTGGTATGGACATTGGCAGACAAAACGGAGTGGACAGGAGGACCAGCCCTGGCGAAGTGCCACTGGTTTCGGTTGGTGGCCGACAATTGGCCGGGAATTCTGTAGAGCCAGAAAACTGCAAAACACGCAGCACAGCAGTACACAGCAGTGGACCGCAACTCCCTGCAGTGGACCCCTCGTACTGCGCCTTGGACGGCAGGTCCCGGGAACCTACGTGCTCGAGTTTTGTAAATGCTTACGTTATCTTTCATGAATATGCTCTTGTAGAGATCCATACCTTTAATCCTCGAGCTAAGCAAATTCGGCCTTGAACGAGCTTTGCAAAGCTTTGAAGTAACTTAAGGAGACTCTGGGCCCAGGCGGAGCTTGCAGCTGCCAAGCGGTACGAGCGCGATGCAGCAAGGCTGATCATCGCGTTTGCGCATTTCCTCGCCTCTACCGGATTGACGATTTCAACTACTTCATCCCTAATCAGTATCGTTCTAGGGGTATACGGGTGAAGTTTCCCAAGCAGAGAGCATCAGCACTGCTAGATCGGCCAGCATGCGGTGCGCCCGCGACTGCGCCGCACCCTCTAAGGACCATTTGTCCTCGAAGCCTGTTAGCGCTTTCTCACGTTAAACGGTTCTTCACTTTTCGACTTGTCTGGGCTCGCGAAACTCATTGTTTAGGGCGTACGCTGGCATATTTCATAGTCACAGTAGCATAGCGTACACGGTAGAGTGTGACCACTACTCTATAGGAGAGCAGCAAGTCGTACTGACAACCCTTTTCCCGTCCCCTCCAGACCCTCATCTCTCCTTCCCTCCCCTAAGACTCACTGTTTCAAAGTCAACCTAAAACCCCTAAACCTTGCTCGTTCTGTGAGGATCCCCAAATTGCCAAATCAGTTGCAGCACTGACCATGGTAACCATTGTGACCATTGTGACCATTGTGACCATTGTGGCCAGACCCCTTCCGCCTCCGGAGCGCACGCCGTTGGAGCGAGCAGAGGCAGCTGCCGTTCCTTCGCACGGTTAAGTGGCTTAGTTAGCTCAAGAGGCTTGTGCCTGGGAGTCAGGATGCAACCTTCAGGTTTGCGAAACTTAGCGTACTTGCTGTGTCGAAGCCGTCGTCACTTTTGGGCTCCTGGCTCCCGTGGCTCCTGCTCGTCGCATTTGGACTGTTCTTGGAGTTTGGAGTGGTTATAGTCCCTACCAAGCCAAGCTTGAGTATCCGTCTTGTTCTTGTCTGTTCTGAATACCACGCTTGTGCTACCGTGGCTTCATCGCTATGCTCCCGTATTCTTCCAACTTATGACGTTACACCAGCAAACCAGGCCTGACCACACTAAAGGCCCAGAATTCGAGAAGGTATGCCCAAAGCCCTTCCGAGACCCCAAAACCTGGTCGGCGCACTGAGGCTCGTGGCATGCAGCGGCTGGAAATGGGCGAGGCCAGTCCGGCTCGTGGAACGTCCAGAACTCACTTGAGGAGGCGGGGTTTACCGAAGCAGTTCCTTGTGTAAAAGCATTCTCAGACTCTCTCGCTCTCTGTCTCTCTCTCTCTCTCTCTCTTACTATCAGCCTTTCGTTGCATGAAAGAGAGGTGTAGAAGTCTTAGGGAGGGGGGCACGTTTCTTTTTTCACCTTCATGGCTTCGGCGCTCGGTGCTTCTCTAACTTCTGCTGCGGTTCTATAGAGGGAGAGAGAGAGAGAGAGAGAGAGAGAGAGCGAGAGAGAGAGCCCAGCAGAGGAAGAAGGAGAAGAAGAAGGACGAAGGAGATGAAGACGAAGACGAAGAAGCAGAAGAAGACGATTGACAGTGAGAGAGAGTAGGGTCTTTTTTCTCCCCATCGCTTTGAAGCATGCCCTCTTGTATCACTGGTTTATACTGTGTGGGTGTCAGGTGATACCATGACACTGACCGCAATTGCCGCTTCTTTTACATCCTGCCCGCATGCAGCTCGGCTTTTTGCCAAGCTTTCTTTTCGGTCAACTTGAAGGACAGTGTTCCATGAGCTGTGGGAGAAGTTGCAAGACTTGGTACGGTACGTCACGTTGTTGGATGCGCATTGCCTTTACGTGGTCCTGGGGCTGCAGGGCCTCCATGATTGCCTGCGCCGAGATATGAGAATGTTCGATGCCTTGAAGGTCCCGGACTCCTGGCACACCCCTTGACTACACCAACAAACACCCCTATGGCCCTATGTATTCAGTGAAGGGTCAGAGCTGGCACTTGGCGCCTTGGCACGGGCTGATGACGAATTCAGCCAGCTCCTGGGTAAGAAGTCACGGTGGCTCCTTTTTGGTGTACGAAGTTGTACGAACTCATATGGACTGTCAGACGTTGGCCGCATGGATCCGGCGCACCGAGAAGCAAGCGGCAGTTGCTAGCAGTAGCTTATATGGTGGTGGAGGTCGCTCCATCTCACCTCAGCAGAGCTGGGATACTGCATCAGATCATCGCCGACCAGAAGGCAGTCCATCAGTCCATCATCTCCAAATAGGACCTCCTTTGGGCGCTTTGGGCGGCTGCAAAAAGAATTCAAGACGTATGATGCAGACAGCTGAATCAGCTGTGCCGGTCTGTTTCATGCTCAATTGTGGCGATGCTGCAGCTTCACTATCTTGAGATCGCCCAGGGACGAAGAGCGCTGCTAGCAACCTGTGGGTGTGTGAAAGGTCTTTGAAACCTTCACAAGCCTCCAAAGCTTCGGGCGTGGCACAAGCAAAGCCTCGGGCGTGGCACAAGCAGAGGTCTAAGCAACTAATCCCTTCTCCCTAATGCTAAACCCCCCCCCCCCACACCCCCCCCCACACCCCCCCCCCCGGCAATTGCCAAATTCACCTCGGCCGGAAAATGTTTAAAATAGGGGGGCGGGGGGGGGACCTACATGCTAAGACCTGAAATCCCAAGCCGAAACTCAAAGCCGAAACGAGAGAGAGAGAGAGAGAGATGTCCTCGTGACTGCAACCTATAGGGTTTGGGGTTAAGGGTTCAGTTAGGGTTTAGCCTTAAGCCCTAAGCACAAATTAAACCCTCTGAGCCTTCAGCCCTAAACCCTAATTGAAAACCCTAATGGCTCAACTCAAGGGCGGAGGCCCTTCTCAACAGGCTTAGTATTGGGCTGGGTGTCGGGAGGGTCCGGGAAAACACCGTTTAAATTAGGGTGGGGTTTAGTATTCGGGGGAGAGGATTAGTGGCGCTAACCAAGTCGGCAAGTAGTACTCTGTGCGGTACAGCCCAATGCACTGTGTGTGCTCACTGACAAGAGACGAACGTTGACAGTCATTCCGGCACTTCTTGCAGGTGTGTAGATTCCGTTCAGACATTGTTCAGCCTCAGTGCGCAGTTGTTCATTGGCAGCCGGTGTTCGCGAGCTGCGCAGAAGTTCAGAATGCTGACGGCTGAACGTGGCAAAGGCGGCAGGTACATTCCAGTGTGAGAACATGATGTCTTCCGCAATGCAGGAGTTGGCAGGTTCTTCTTCCCGTTGCCTCGATTGAAGAGGTTCTGCGCAAAATAGTTTCTCACAGCATACTGTTCGCCGTCCGAACCCGGTGTTTGAAGCAGGCAGTGTGCTCACGAGTGCCTATGGGCGGCAAGCGATGCAAACTGTTAACAGATTACGCTGCTCAGTGTGCACATTTCGGTCTGCGTGTTCCTTGGAACATGAATCGTCTCTCGACGTCGATGCCCGAAGATTTCCTGAGCCATGTGCGTGAACCGATGCGGTTGTTGGGTTCTGTTCTGCAATTCTGTTGTTGGGTTCAATCCGCGGCGCGGGCTGGCTCGTGCCAGGATCGGTGGCACTATGCAAGTCCATGATCACGAGACATGCGAAAGGCCACGGAAATCAAGCGTCACTTGTTGGGGCGCCATTTCCAAGGTGCACGCGCGCGCGCTTCCAAGGTGCACGCGCCATCTGTGTCCAAGGTGCACGCGCAACGTTGGGGACCTGCGCAGGGCCGAGTGTTCTTGTACCCTGAAGCCTCAAAACCCTAAACCCTAAAACCCCCCAAACCCTAAACCCTAAACCCTAAAACCCCCTAAACCCTAAACCCTAAAACCCCCTAAACCCTAAACCCTAAACCCTAAACCGTAAACCCCCTAACCCTAAACCCTAGACCCTAAACCCTAAAACCCCCCAAACCCTAAACCCTAAACCCTAAAACCTCCTAAACCCTAAACCTTAAAACCCCCTAAACCCTAAACCCTAAATCCTAAACCCTAAAACCCCCTAAACCCTAAACCCTAAAACCCCCTAAACCCTAAACCCTAAACCGCAAACCCAAAACCCCCCCAAACCCTAAACCCTAAAACCCCCTAGACCCTAAAACCCCCTAAACCCTAAACCGTAAACCCTAAACCCTAAACCCTAAACCCTAAACCCTAAACCCTAAACCCTAAACCCTAAACCCTAAACCCTAAACCCTAAACCCTAAACCCTAAACCCTAAACCCTATACGGGGGGCAACCGAAGGAGGACAAGGAACGAAACAGTCAACCCCAACAGAAACCCTTAATCCCCCTGGAACAACCAACAACCGAACAACAAGACCCCAAACCAAGGGCACACTTTTTACGAAACCTTTGACCGCTTTGGTCATGGCTTGAGCCAAAGATTACCGGGTTCATTGACCCTTCAACTTCCAATACCAACTCCTTTCTACAATACCAATTGCAGCTCCGCACTCCCCCTGTCCTAGGATTTCCTAGGACACATTGGAGGTGCAGATCTTTGGCCAAAAACCGCCATTTAGGCAGCAGCCAGCTGCTTGAAATGCACATTGTGGTTTAACGTCTTCCAGGACGAACCTTCAGCTCATTGGCTGAATCCTTTACCATTGAGGATTTCTTCACCTCGCACTTGGAAAATTCACGTTCCAGCGGCTCGTTCCTCACCACCTGGAGAACCTAGTTGCCGGAAAAAAGTGGCTACCCGTGAAAGTCGCTGTTTTTGTGCTGTAGAACCGGGCCTTCAAATCCACATGTATGAACCGTATACGGGGTGCAAGCCGAAATCCCTTGTTTGGGATATGTATTTCGAAATCCAGCGCAGAAGCTGCGATAGTTAGTCGTGCGAGTTGCATTCGACCACGTCGTTGTTTGCCAACACGCAGCCCTGGGCCGATATTGTGAACGAGCCCCACACCGTCTGAGGTGGTCCAACCGTGACACCGTTAGGGTCTAGGACCTGACTTGTTCATAGTCCACTGTTTGGCCGGCTCGGTATGTTCTAATTGACATCTGTCGCCCCAGCTAAAACTCAAACGAGGCGGAGGATTCAGTTTCCGTCGTGGGGAGGGAGTCCCTGCCACCACTGTTGCTATCTTTCCAAACAAGCAGGCGTGAAGACCTTCCTTGCATTTCCGTCTTTTCCGTCTATTGAAGATGGCACGCAATTCTCCACTTGGTCTGCGGAGCAAGCATATTGAACGCTACCAGGAAAACCGCTAACTCCGCATCCAAGACAATAAGCGGTTGGCGTTTTCTAGCGAAGCCATTGAAAAGCTGAGTCTGGCTGTAGCTATAGCGCTATAGTACCTCGCAAGAGGCTAGAGGGGCCGCTGGGCCCATGCTTTAGCATCGCGACGCGCAAGATGCAAGATCTATTTCAAAAAATCGCAGAGACACTCCTACGCTTTTTTACGGCGTTTTTGCGCGATCTTACGGCACTTTACGCTTTTTTACGGCACTGAGGTTTTGCGCAAAAAGTATAGAAACCCAACGAAACACAACAAAATGCTGATGAGTCACACCAGCAAACCTCAAAACCGGTGAAAAAACCCATACTTGGGCCGAAACAGCCTAGACTAAGACCTTTAGCCCAAACCTCAAGCATGTCAAGCTTACAGTGCAAGAAGATAGGGTACCCCTCCGAGAACCCTCAGCCTCAACCGCTTTGGAATGCTTTCGATCAACAATCATGAGAGTTGGCAACTCCTCACAGCACTAAACTCGGTATGCTAAAGCTGCAATATGGTGCATGTTAACGAACTCTCAAGATCGAGCCATCAAGAAGGCCACGGAACAACCAAGCCTTGTGCAGCTAATCGCATGCAATAACAAATGTACAGGGTGTGCGCGTGTGTCTACATACCGACACACGCACGTATGCCTACATAAGGACATGTGATCATCGCTATGTATTCAAGATACGTGTAGATTACCATATAACTTAGATGAGCAAGCATACACGTGCACATGAATTGCACAAGCTGTATGCTGTACGTACGCCTGTGTGCATGCCTCGGCTTCGGACAGGTTTATTGCGGGCATCGGCTTGTATGGGACATTCTTGATGGTCAGTAGTCAGATGCATGAGCACGTAAGGCCTCTGAGGGCTGCGGATACAGCCTCACAGGCTTTAGGAGCTGTTTTTCGACAAAGTTGCTCTTTTTTTCCGGCACTATGGCAAAGGCGTTGTTTTTTCTTGAAGGAGCGTTTTATTTCCAGCTACTTCGGCGCTCCAGGCAAGGAACTCAGCATTCACCACCCAGCCATCCTTGAGGCAATGCTTACAAGCGTCTTAGCTCTGAGCTGTGAATATCGCAGAACATCACAGTCACTGCTTGCGTGCATACAGTTCCCACCCACTGTTGTATACAAAGTGGCACTCGCAGGAATAACCACCGCTTTCTTGACCCACAGCCATTTATACAGCCGTCGAAAGAGGCACCATGCCAGTTCCCAGAGTATAATTGCTGCCACCAAATATGCAACAAGGTCTGAATTGTTGACAACCATTTCAATACCTTGAGCCAGAACCATCACCGTAGACGTGTTGGCAACCTTGCACACCCCTTCTTCTGAGCAAAAGAATCCAGCAGTTGACACTTCTTCGCCACCAGTTGCCATCCCTTGCAGAGATGCAGCCACCATCATGACTGCCATTGCAAGCGAGGCTTTTTTCA